TTTTCGATATCTCTTACCAATTTCGAAAAAAACGATAATTTCGAAAGTATGACAGAATTGCAATTTTCGAATTTCTAGAAAATTTAAGTTGTGCTGGGTCGCGCTTGATTTGTGCTAACTTGTGCCGTTTATTTTTTCTCAATATTTTCAACCGTTTTCAAGATATGGCAATTTCGAAAAAACCAGTATTTTTCAGAAAAATTGCTGTAATTTTTGTAAAAATTCAAATATCGAGATGCGGTAAATTGTGCTGAGTTGTGCTCACTTAGCACAATTTTTCGTCCATACATAACGAATTTCCACCTTTACTCGTTACTCGCTAAAAATTAAAAAAATGATTAACTTTTGTAATATGTGGAATTTTTGAAATCTGCAAGTTGTGCTGAATTGTGCTCACCTAGCACAATTTTTCGTCCATACATTGGAAATTTGTATCTCTACTCGTTACTCGTTAAAATCGTAAAAATCAAAATCGCATATTTAGAAACAAGATATCGAAAAACTAAAAGTTGTGCTGATTTGTGCTAACCTAGCACAATTTTTCGTCCATACATTGGAAATTTGTATCTCTACTCGTTACTCGTTAAAATCGTAAAAATCAAAATCGCATATTTAGAAACAAGATATCGAAAAACTAAAACTAAACTAAAACTAAAAAACAAAAATTACAGCAATTTTTCGTTATATATGTATTTTATCCAATTTTAACTAGTAACGAGTGGAAATACAAATTCTCAATGTATGGACGAAAAATTGTGCTAGGTTAGCGCAACTCAGCACAATTTACCGCATTTCGATATTTGAATTTTTACAAAAATTACAGCAATTTTTCGTTATATATACATTTTTTCCAATTTTAACTAGTAACGAGTGGAAATACAAATTTTCAATGTATGGACGAAAAATTGTGCTAGGTTAGCACAAATCAGCACAACTTTTAGTTTTTCGATATCTTGTTTCTTAATATGCGATTTTGATTTTTACGATTTTAACGAGTAACGAGTAGAGATACAAATTTCCAATGTATGGACGAAAAATTGTGCTAGTGGAGCACAATTCAGCACAACTTGCAGATTTCAAAAATTCCACATATTACAAAAGTTATTAATTTTTTTAATTTTTAGCGAGTAACGAGTAAAGGTGGAAATTCGTTATGTATGGACGAAAAATTGTGCTAAGTGAGCACAACTCAGCACAATTTACCGCATCTCGATATTTGAATTTTTACAAAAATTACAGCAATTTTTCTGAAAAATACTGGTTTATTCGAAATTGCCATATCTTGAAAACGGTTGAAAATATTGAGAAAAAATAAACGGCACAAGTTAGCACAAATCAAGCGCGACCCAGCACAACTTTAATTTTTTCGAAATTCGAAAATTGCAATTCTGACATATTTTTGAAATTATCGTTTTTTTCGAAATTGGTAAGAGATATGAAAAAATTTTAACGGCACAAATGGGCACAAACCGAGTACGACTCAGCACAACTTTAATTTTTTCGAAATTCGAAAATTGCAATTCTCTCAGATTTTTTCGAAAAAAAATCTTTTTTCGCATATCTCAGAAATTTTTTCGAATTTCGAAAAAAAATTTCGGCACAATTGAGCACAAACCTAGCACAATTCAGCACAACTTTCCTTTTTTCGAAATTCGAAAATTGCAATTCCAACGGACACCACATTGTTCCACGATATCGAAAGAAAATTTGTGCGAACGAAAGCTAGTCATTCACTTTCGTATCAGAATGCGTTCAAATAACATCCGTTCGTTCTTTCGCATAGACTTACTTGACTCAGTGTTGCTAAATATACCTTTGAAAAAATTAATCGCGAAATTATGAAAAGCGCCAAAATGACAGATTTAAACGCGAAAAAGCTGCAAAAAATGCAACCATACGTAAGCTGGCTCTGCCTGAACTGACAGTTCAGTTGTAAACAAAAAAATTGTAAAAAAACAAACAAAATAACTTTCCGAGATTCCCAGTAATTGTGTTTAATTTATTTGTGTTTAAAAAAAACTATTTCTGTTGCCCTATATTTTATGGATGATGTGAAAAAGCCTCCTGCTTCCAAATATTGACAGGGTTATAAAAACCCATATCATATTCGAGATTCGCCTTCCATTAGTAGAACTTCAGCAGAATGATTTATTCAACTTGATTCCCGTACCCATGCTGCTATCCGGTCGATTTATTTCCATATCATTGAAACCACCTATATTGGCAGCCAACCTCCATCGGGAGCAGTTCATATTGCTAACAGCAGAAGCAATGCAGATGCATATATACCACAAATGACATTTTTAATGGTAATAACCACGCGAAGTTTAGCAAGGGCGATCGGTCACATGAATGCCAAGTGAGCTCCCTATTGAATAAATATTCAGAAGCTTGTGACTTGCAGTCAACCATCCATCACAAAACTTGAAGACAAATGACCCAAAAGAATCAATGGATGTTTACTTTAGCCAATTTAACTGAATTGTCGTTTGTTTGTGGCACAAAAATTACACACCTGGAAGTGCAAGGGGCTGGAACGTTAGAGATTGGGCCAGATTACAAAAACAAAACAATAATGTCTACACCATATCTCAGACTTATGCCACTGGATTACATAATATTATCCAATAGCCTGGTCTGGTTCAACACCAGCTGCGTAAAACCAGTGAAATCGGAAGCTTTCAACAACTAATGAAATCGACAGCCATTTACCATCATACCACCAGCTATCTAGCTCTTTATGTTGGATTTGGAATAGCCATATAAATCACAGTCAAGTTTCGCCACTACACAGCTTCCAAAAACATCAACCCAACATCTAAACCCCGGCAGTCAGTATCATTATCATACGTCATTGACCAGACAGTTTCTTGAACGTTCGCCGTTCAACGTGGGGGAGAATATTCAAAAGAACATATTTTTTGCATATACATTTTCTGCTTTTGTTGAATAGTTTTATTCTTTTTTAATATGTAACTGACCTATATAATTATTGTTTATTTTAAGCAGGTCAATAACCTAAACAAAGAAACACATCGATTGGTTTCACATTGCATGGGTTATTGGCTGAAGTAAATTAAGCTTTATTTACATTTACCAGCGACCCAATGGATTTTTGTGTATGTTCGTATCGGCTATTCTTTTCAGACATCCTGCAGCAAGATGTGGGGCGAACGTCGTACCATATGTTAACATATTCAACATGTTATATTCGAGTTCTTGTATGGGGTGTTTCTCCATACGATTAGCTGATATTTGCGATCCTTTTGTAGGTAGTCTAAAACGCAACAACATTGCAAACAGATCTCCTTGAATTCTGGGACCTAATTGCAAAATATCATTGAGTGACCACCCATGTAATGACTTGCAAGACGCGTCGAACACAAACCTAAGCTTTGTTGTTCTGCTATTTGTGTTCTGGATGTAGTAATGATCACCACGCACCTCTCTTGGTTGTATTTTCGTCATATGTCCAAGATCGTCGTACTCCTTCATAAATTGAGCATATGAAGACTTGCATTCTTAGATAAGCGACGCTCCAATGCAAAGAATCTGGAGGCTGCAAAAATTTAAGGATTCGGATATTGTTCATAAAAGATGCTATATTTTTGCGCAACAGTGTTGTTTGTTACATTACCGGTGGCTGCATAAATAACATCATAAAAAAATGATGTACATATTAGACACATATGCACACACACATGCACATATATGCAGCCACTGGTAAATTCCCTTTAGAAAAAAAGAGTAGTACCGCAGTGCTGCTCGAGTACTCGCCAAGCGATACCGACCACTCGCTCTTCATTTCCCCGTTAACGGTAAGAGCTGCTGACTTTTACACTGGACTGTCGTGTGAAAATCAGTACTCGCGTTTGCAGCGCTTTGTGAGGGGTGAGCGACTGCTGAATTTTGCATCAGTCGCCATTGAAAAAAGTAACTGAACATACTGCACGAACGTAATTATTCGCATTGCCATTGCGAATAATTAAAAGAACGAAAGACAGATTTTGTTTTCATTCAGCTATTTTTATTTCAAAACAATATTAAATTACAAAATAGAATTTAAGTAAAATATATAATTTCAAAAAAAGGCAGGAGACACGTATTTTGTTAGCGCCCTTTTTTGTCTTCCCAGTAACGTTTCTAAACTTAGAGGTACGTCAAGTCCTTCTTCTTTTAGAATTGTCAACAGTTTTTCAACACAATTTTTAGTTGGTTTGGTATCGATGTACCACATTTTAAGTTTATCTGTAAACTTGGAAGTTTGCACAATATTTAAAAAATCTTCTGCTGTATTATTTTCGCAGGTGACGCTGCTTTCACAAATATTTTTTTCCACTTCTTCTACTTTTTCCACATTAAATAGTATTTGTTCATAAATAGCTTTTTATTTTAATACTCTGCGTTCAAAGGTACGCTTTTTAATTTTTTACATACACTTTCTTTTCTTTTTCACTTAAAACAAATATTTTACTTGCAAGTCCACACAATGCACAAAACACAAATCACAAATAAGCATAATCAGATGCTGACAGTGTTACCAATATATGCGATTATAAAAAAACTGTGCAGCACTTGCGAGTAGTCAAGCAGTACTCGCCGCCTACAACCATTGATACTACTGACTTTTACATAAGTGTAGCACCACTCGCAGTTCATCAATACCTCCACTGTTTTCTGCAGGGTTCCAATGCTGAATTCAAATAAATAAGCATCGTCACCAGCCAAAACAGGTTTGCTGTGACGATGCAAATTGGAGTTAGAACAGTTCAGTCTCGAATTTAAAAGCGCGTACGCAAGTTTCCCCCCCGAAGTGAACAGTGCCCAAAAACAGAGAAAAAAAAACAAAGTGTCAAAAAAAACATCATACAAAAAACATAAAACATTGTACAAAAAAAGTAAAAATTAATTGAACAAAAAAAAAAACCTAAAACTAAACAAAAATTGTGAACGAAACAAATTGATTTTTAAAAATAGAAATAAAACAATACGAAAAAACATAAATAAAAACAACATCTTTTAATTAAAGAAAAAATAAAAAAAAGTGAAATAAGAAACAGATATCTTCTCAGGACCGTCTGAAAACGGTAATCGCACCACAAAACGACCATACTCATTCACTGTTGTATTTTGGTTGAAACGATTTTCACACTGTTCTTCAGCTATTGTCAACTTCTGATCCACCCTAGCTAAGAAATCTTCAATATAGGAAGCTCTTTGCATATTCGAATTTCTTGTGATGGAATAAGATTAAAGCAGGACTCTGCTCCAAGTAGTACGTCAATTCTTGTCGTTTGATTAAAGCGGGGATCTGCTAGCTTGATGTTTTCAGGAATTGGTCATAATGTAATGTCGATGCCAGTGCTTATTTGCGGTGACACTATTTTTGGTAACACAAAAGCTTCTAGACGTGTTCTGAATTTGCTTGTCAGCGACTGAAGTTCCACGCTGACTCTATTGTTTGTTCTTGATCTTCCGCCAACGCCATCGATACAGGAAGATACTTGAATGGGTTCGATACCCAACCTCTGCACAAGTCGTTCTGACACAAGATAAATCTGTGAGTCGGAATCCAGAATTGCCTTGAACTCATAGGTTCTTCCATTATTGGCCTTGAAAGCAACCCGTGCGGTAGCAAGTATGTCAATTCGCCGATGCCACTATTAGGGGTCTCTTAGCTGACACTACTGCTGACTGGTTTTCAGCTTGTGACCTCGTGGAAATATAAAAAAGTGTATTGTGTTTTTGTTGATACTTTCTGCACATCCCATTTGTACATGTTTTGCTTTATCCTTAAAGCAATTCAAACACATCTTTTTTCTAGAAACCCATTTCTGTCTTTCGGACTCTGTCATTGCCAAGGACTGCTTGCAATAATATAGGGGGTGATTACCGTTGCACATACGGTTCGTTGTTGAATCAACCGAAGCTGCTGGTATATCGTTTGGAGTTCTTTGATATCCACAATCGACTGCTCATAGTCTTGTCCATCCTCTTTGTTAGGATGTGGGTTAAGGGTGAATCCTATTCTTTCGGTTTTATTCCAGGACCCCCAGTGCCAATAACGATTCATGAACACTGTCGTAATTCGCCTCAGTTAACTCGAGGTGCCTCATGAACTTCTCGGCTTCCCCAGTCACGTTGGACTTGAGATACCACATTTTTTGCTATTGTGGCAAGATCTGCTCGTTGATCATGTTCCAGATTATTCTGGCTCTTGAAATTTGCTGCTTTTTTGCGAAAGTAGTTTCCTCCTTTCACCAGTAAAAGTGTCAAATACCTTACCACTGGTGGGGAAGTTTGATTGATTCTGGCCAGGATTACGTCGGGGTCACTAAAATAAATGTTTATTAATGTAAAGAAAGGTAGATATACACAACACTTGAATTGTGTATGTTTACAATTTCTTGCAATCTACAAAGAATATTTATTTTTGCTTGCTATTTACACATTTTGGATGTCACTAAAACTAGCATTAAATGTAAAGTAAGCATAATTTACTTGAGCCAATAATGTATGCAATGTGAAACCAAACATTTCTTTTTTATTTAGGTTATTGGCCTGCTTAAAATAAACAATAATTGTATATGCTGTTATATGCTGGCATATAATAAAACTATTAAATAAAATACTAAAAAAGGATACTTGAAAACGGTTTTAAAATTGTCAATAAACTGAATCAAACTGACATACGCAAAAAATAAGAATTAAGACCTTTCTGTAATCTAATATTTCTTAACGAAATATTTCAATAAACACAAAATATACGTGTGAAATTAGTAGTTACTTTCTTCAAATGCCCATTTTTGGCGACTGCCTTTATATCGAAGTATTCTAATTAATTGACCGATACTACAAATGTTTCGCAGGTAACGTTTGCTTCTAGAGTAATATTCTAACAAGAATTTGCAGCGTTTATATTAAAGAAATATTTTTAAAGAAAGCAAATTGCTTTTATTATTACAGTTTGTTTTTTTTTGTGAAATTCAATTGTCAGAATGTCTTTATAGTTTCTATAACAACAACGTTGTTATTATAAAATGTCAGTTGTTGTAGCTGGTGTATACTCCTTATAAATACACCTTGGGTGTATATATAGGAAAGGCAACACATTCTTTAAACTTTCTGCAAGATTTTGACATTGAATTTTTTATCTATTGCTGTCAACCAGACTACTGACGCTTATGATACAATAGGTTTAATTACGCTTCTATACAGCCAGAAAGCATTTTTAAATTCAGTGTCACAAATGGGTCCGAACTACCATAAATCCGCTAGGAAATCGTTAACATACCGAATATCCAAAAATACCATCCGCGGTAGACCTCGTTACGAACTCTTAACATCAAATTTGTAAAAAAATGAGCTATTCGAAAAAATGGATCGATAAACCTCATTTTCAATACTAACCGACCTATCGTGATTTTAACAGACAGATGGACATCTTTAAGTCGACTAAAAATTTCAAACTGGTTATGAATATATATACTTGGTGAGCTCTACGATGAATATTTAGAGGTGTTTCAAACTGAATGACCAATTTTATATGGTGGAGATATAGAAAATATTCAACTGTGTTGATAATGTTAAAATTTTCAGATAAAGCAGAAAACATTAATGAATAGTATACAATTTATAAAGCCAAATTAAATAAAGGAAATGCAATTAGTTCTTTTGCTTATATCAATACACAGTAAATGTGATTTGGTTCAAAATCTATTCAAAAATAAAAAAAAGTATAAATGTATCATGAATAAAGCTGTGTGATCGGGTTGATTTGTGTTCGTAATTCTGAGAACAAATAAAGATGTTCGAAACTATCGGATAAGTCATGTTTCCATTTAAACTCTTCCAAGTGTGGAGAAGAGCATCGCATTTTTTATAATACTTCATCTTAACCTGTTCAAATGTTATGAAAAAGGTTGTTTCAAGATTTATTTGAACTCGTGCAAAAGAACCAGTGAAATAATTACCTACGTGTAACCACTTCCAAATGTATTTATCAGGTATATATTCCTATGCGTGCTTTTATGGTTTATACCGAATGAATTATATAGGCATAACTTCAGATTTATTGACTTTTTAGTAGGATTCGTTATTAAAGTTCGTGCAAACTTTTAAAATTTTACTTTCGTTTCGAATTAAAATATTATATTTGTTATGGTAGAAAAGTTGTAAAAACATGAGTAAAACATTTTCAAAACTCTGGAATTAACACTTAAGATTTAATATTTAAATTTAGTATCGATTTTGCATCAATACGCGTTTAGTTATTTCCTGTTCACTATTAAAGGACACAACTGCTAAGAGCAGCGTTAGAGGTAAGCTTTGAGTGACCAGCGATCCCGAACCCTTTAATTCTCCAGTATTACAATTGTTAGAATTGCAAGATTCACAGTAGTCACTATCATCTTTTTCACATGTAACTTGAGATGCGCAGCCACGAGTGACTATGCCATCATCCGAGAGCGTCGATACACAACTATCGTTTACTACATAGATAGGACATATAAGAGGATTATTTGGATTGGAAATACAATCCTTGTCAGCGACTGAATTGCAGATATGACAGGATCGTCTATTGGTTGGGAAAATCTATGTAAAGAAATTGCAATTTATGAGAATGAATTGGAAAGTGTATTTTAAGAAATGTTATTACCTCATTGTTACATTTGGAGCCAGAGCAGACTACACACGTACCAGCAGCCACGCATGACTGTTCATCTTCGCTTAAACTGCTGAGACAACCTCTGATAGTATGCCCATCAGAATTGATGTGAGTCATGCACTGGCTTTTTGGTGCCAAGCAAGTTTGAGTGGTATTTATGTGTGTAGGGTTCTGACTGCAGCTTGGAGTCTTGCTGGAGTCGCAGACAAGACACTCACTTTCAGTGGGTAAACGTGATAATTCATTACATTCTAGACCTTCGCATTTATGCAGTTTGTTTTGAGCCTCCCATTGTGCCAAATCACTCGCATTTTGTGCAGAGGCGCAGCCTAGCAAATCAACCTTGCCGCTTTCATATTTAGCAAAACAGTAGTCCTGTTTGCTATAAATTTCACAATATTGTCCTGTACTACTGGTGCATGAAGTTCCGGTGCATGTGTGACACTTCAAGCGATCAAGAGGGAACACAAATTTGTTGCAATTGGCATTTGAGCAACTGACGCACTCACTGTTTTCGGATTCATTGCATTCGTTTTGAACCCTCAATTCTTTATCATCTAAGCATGAGCGTATAACACGTTGATCTAGCATTGCAACCATACACTTTTTGTAACATATTCTTGAAGCAAAACCAGAACCACTTGGATTTATTGTGCAGAGCGAATCTTTGAAGGAATCGCAGAATGCACATTCAACATAATCTTCTATACTCCATGCCACATTGCACTCGTTCGACTTGCACTTGAAACATAAATCTGGATTCTGACGACAGTATAAGTCTCTGTAATCTTCAACATCATCCGAACATCCACGTCGATCAACTTCCCCATTGGATTTGAAAACAGTCATACAGTCTTGATTATAATTTCGACTGGAGCACGTTTTCGTTGAACCAAGAGAATTAAGACATTGTTGCCCTTCACATGTAAAACAGCGAAGAGGGAGAGATTGCCAAACGCCATGGTAGCCGTCGTCCACTTGGTTAACTAAATCAATTGAATTACATTCAGAGCTGAAGCATGATCGACAGGTGGAACTATCTCCCGAGTCACAATAGAGATTACTACTGCAACCACGAACTGTTACATTTCCCTTTAGAGCTGTTATGCAGGATTCGGACTCACTCACTATTGGACAAGGTGATTTTGACGTTGGGAATGATTCACAATTGGATTCTTCCTCTGATGTGCACGTGAAGCATTGTTGACGATTGACGGGGAATATCTTTAGGTACAAAATATTATTAATAAACGGTGACTTTTTGTTTAAACGTACACTTACATCTCGATTACACCCATCCCCACTGCAAACTCCGCAGTTTTCATCGTTACCTAAAACACAAGCAGTAAACTCATCATCTGGTAAATCCGCCAAACAACCTCTCTCCGTGTGGCCACCTGCGTTTTTAAAAGATAATAAAATCAATGCGTACATAAAGGTAACCCACCACCATACTTACTTTCAGTTAATATCGAGAAACATCCAGTATAGGGCAGCATGTTGCATGACTTGAAGGATGCAATTTCTACTGGGTTGACAGCACAGGATATGTCTTCACCTGAATCGCATATAGCACATTTTTGTGCTTTCGAAATAGTGTCGAGTGAATTGCAATTGGGGCCATTGCACACGGAAACTCGTTTAGTTTTAATTATATTTTCCAACGGCTGGTTGCGGAATGAGCTCACGCATCCCATTTCAGATATGCTGTTTGTGTTGTCAAATTTAATAAAGCATTGATCAAATTCTTTGTATAGTGGACATAATTGAATAACTGGTTCCACGCAGTTCTCTCCCTCGCAAGTGTAACATGTAAAACGTTTTTCTGGAACATTGTCCACATTGCATTTTTCCCCAGTACAAGCTTTGCATGTTGCATCGTTGCCAGATGAGCATTCAAGTTGATCGGAAAGTTCTTTGTCGTTCAAACACGTCCGTATTAAATCGTAAGATGGGTTATGAGAACTATCCGAAGGATACAGGGCTGTCATGCAGCCATCTTGGCATTTTCTAACTTTATGGTCTGGGCTTAAGGGTTTAAATATGCAATCGAGATTTTTGTTAGAGTCGCAATAAATACATTCGGTGAATTCTGATTGGGACTTCGCAGAATTACATTCATTTGATTTGCAACTTAAACATTTGTCTTCATTTGCATCACAGTATGTTCCGTATTCACTTTCGACTATATCTGCGCAACCACGTCGAACAACTTTACCACTGTTATCGAAAACAGTCATACAGTCCTGTTCATTATTTAAATCGCAGAAAAGAGACTTTGTGGTTTCAGAAGAATTACATTCTGATCCTGTGCATTCAAGGCAAGTCAATGGAAGGTCTTGCCACTTTCCATAATTGTCGTCTTGTTTCTTAGCCAAATTTATTGTATTACATCCTTCACCGGAACATTTGATACATTTTCTGGGGTTTGTTGCGTCACATACCAAGGAAGAACTACATCCGCGATAAGTAAAACCGTTGCGGAATACAGTCACGCAAGTGTCATCGTTATTATGTAGTGGACATAAGCCAAGGTTATCGGGGGCATTCTCGCAACTAGGATCAATTGAGGAATCACAAATGTGGCACTTAAGTCGGTCTTCGGGGAAGATCTTGCTATTGCATTTATCTCCAATGCACTTTTCGCAGACCTTCGATGTACCATCTAAGCAGGTCATGAATTCTTCATCATATAAATTAGACAAGCAACCGCGTTCGGTTTCACCATCTGGTAAAACACGAGAGTAGCATTCCGTGAAAGGCAAGGCTGCGCATGTCGTATAGCCTGTAATTTCAGATGGATTGACAGCGCAGTTTTTATCAGTACGCGAGTTGCATAGATTACAAACATGAGCAGTAGGCAAGCTATTGATGTGGTTACAAGTCGGACCCTCACAAATGTGAAGACGCTTTTGTTTCAGCAAATTATCTGCATCTTCATTGCTAAATTCACTGCGACAACCTAGAGCAACAATGGATTGTTTTTCGTCAAAGAGAACGTAACACTTGTCATCAGGGCGATATGTTGGACATTGCTGGATTTTAGGATCCTGACAAGAATCGCCTTCACAGATGTAGCAACTATATCTCGTCTGAGGCATATCGATGGTATTGCATTTTTCAGTTTCACATACTTGACAGTAGTCCTTGTTGCCAGCTGCACAACTATCCCTGTCGTCAATATCCATATCATCGTAGCAAGATCTTACTAGACCATACGATGGATTGGCCTCCTGATATAGTGGATACAGAGCTGACATACAATATTTGTAGCATTTTCGGGTTTTTTCTATACTACCGATATTATTAGAACAGTCTGGACCAGAGTCGGTATCACAGACCAAGCATTCGATGTACTCGTCCAAACTATTAGCAACGTTGCAGCCATTCGAATTACAAGCCATACAATTGCCTGGATTGGCTTCGCAATATGATCCCTGATCTTCTTCCACCACGTCACTGCAACCTCTCTGAATGACTTTGCCATCATTGCTGAATACTGTCATACAATTTTGGAAGGGATTGTTTAAACATGATCGGAAATCTCCCTTACTGAAACATTCCTCTTCTCCTTTGCAGGAGTAGCAGGTGATTGGCAAGTCTTGCCACCGCCCAGGTTCACCATTCTCACTGTTTCTTTCTAAATTTACGGTATTGCAACCGTCGGTGTCACAAGTTCGACATGTGCGTTTATTCTCGGGATCATCACATTTCATTGTAGATGAGCATCCTCTAGTAGTAATACCATTTCGGAAATTCGTTACACAAGAGTCGTTTTCGTCATATAGAGGACAAACTTTATTGTTATCCGGGGATGAAGCACAAAGTGGATCTATAGCCGAACTACATTGTTGACATTTCCTGCGATTTGTGGGATATATATCAATTTCATTGCATTTGTCTCCCACACAAGTTTCACACAAATTATCAGTGCCCATTAGACAGCCGAAAAATATATCATTTTGAAGCGATCCCAAACAACCACGTTCGGTATGACCATCTAAAAATTGTTTTGTTAACTTTTTTTAAGCACTACGTATTACAATTACACTTACAGTTATTAACACGAGTTACGCATTCGGTGTATGGTAATGAAGAGCAGCGTTCCATATTTCCAACCAAATTGGGATTAGTAGCACAGAGGGAATTATTTTCTGAAGAACATACGGAACAATACTTAGGCGAAGGAATGGAATGTGGGGAGTTGCATCCCTTTTCGTTGCATAGTAACATTTTCTTTTGTTTTAGCAGTTCAGTCACAACTTCCGCTTCAAATTCACTACGACATCCCATGCTAATAATAGAGTTTTCTTCGTTGAAAAGAATATAGCATTGATCGTTAGGGTGATACGCATTACATTGTTTAATGTCCATATCTTCGCAATCATTATCGAGACATGTATAGCATTCGAAGCGATCCTCGGGAAAACTCATTGTATTACATCGTGATCCGCTGCAAGCTTTGCAGAACTGTTTTTGATCATTGGAGCAAGCATCTCTATCATCTAAATCCAAATCATCCAAACATGTACGAGCTAATTCATAAGCAGGATCACTACTACTTGATCGGGGGTACAATGCTACCATGCAATCGCCGTGACACTTACGTGTCCTAATCTTTTTCTCGTCGAATGCTGTAGAACAATTTGCATCTAATGCAGAATCACAAAAGTAACAATCTGTGAAGTCATCCAAAGAATTACCGGTGTTACACCCATTCGATTTACAGTTTAAGCAGCGGTCTGGATATTGATCGCAGAAATCACCGTGGGAAATACTGATTGTGTCACTACATCCACGCTTTTCTACGGAGCCATTAAGTCCGAAGACAGTGGTACAAGTTTGTAAATTGTTGCCTTCGCATACGTTTATTATACCATTTCCGTCAGCACATTCCAGCCCTTCGCAGGCATAGCAATTAAGTGGCAATCCTTGCCATTTTCCTGGTGTTCCCACGGACAATCCCAACAAATTAACTGTGTTGCAATTATCGGTCGCATTACATATTCGACAAGTTTCCCGACTGCTAGTGTCACAAGTGAAATCTGATGCGCAACCTCGTAGAGTACGATCCCCTTCTAGTTTAGTAACACAGCTGTCATTCTCCCGGTATAGCACACATGTTTGAGCGAATTGGATGGCGTTGTCCTCGCAAGCAGAAAAAAGTGAGGAGTCACACTGAATACAACTTCGGCGCTCTTCGGGGAAGATTGCGCTGTTACAATCATTTGAACTGCAAATTTTACATTTTGTGCTGACGCCACTGGTGCAATCGTTAAATAATTCTTCATCCACATCTGAGAGACATCCTCGACGTGTAACACCGTCTGCGAAAGAGATGTTAAACAGATTATTATTAGCGATATCCACAATTTATTAATATTACCTTCGTCAACAGCCATATAACATTCTGTGTTAGGGTATAAATGACAGACGGTGGCTGTTGTCGTTGAAGGACTTGAGGCACAGTCCGGGTCATTGTCGGAACTGCACCATCTGCACGATGGAGGTTGTGGTAAGTTAAGAACATCGTTACAATTATCTCCTTCACACAATAATAAATTGCGACGATTCGACGATATGAATGAGTTATCCAAGTCGCTAGCGCATCCCATACCTTGTATATTGCTTTCCTCATCGAACAACGTAAAGCATTTATCGTTTTCACGATAAGATGTGCATTGAGCGGAAATGTATTCCTCACATTCATTTCCGTGGCATACGTTGCATTTAAGCCGCGTCTCTGGAACTATGACGTTATTGCACTTGTCTTCGCTGCAAGATTTACAATTGGCTCTAATGCCCGACTGACATTGTTCACGGTCATCCAAATCGAGATCATCTAGACAACTTCTAGACAATTCATACGCTGGGTTATCTTCGTTGGTACGTGGATATAATGCTGTCATACAGTTCTTGTGACAAGAACGAGTATGTGTTTTAGTTTCAGGATAGAAAATACAGTCGGAATCTACGCTGCCGTCACAGAAAATACAGTCGACATAATCGTTGATGCTGATGGCTGTATTGCATCCACTGGATTTGCAGAACTTGCACAGTGAAGGATTTTTGTCGCAGTAACTAAGTCTTTCGCTATTGTAAATAACATCGGAGCAACCGCGTTGTATCACTGTACCATTAGCAGCGAATACAGTTGCGCAATTTTGTTTGTTGTTATTTTCGCACTTTCCAATTACTCCTAAACTTAAAGTTTGGCATTCCCAACCTTCACAGCTATAACAGTTAATTGGGACACCTTGCCATTTTCCGGGATATCCGATGTTGCTGCTAGCCAAATCAACCACGTTGCAATTGTCCGATTCAAAGCATTGGCGACAATATTGTTTGTCGTCATCATTACATTGAAATTCTGTGCTGCAACCCCGGTATGTATGACCATTTACTAATTTTGTTGTGCAAAATTGATCACTATCATAAATAGGGCAGACTGATGCAGAATCCGGCAAACTTTCACATTCTGGGTCATCTTTGGTGTTACAACGGTGGCAACGACGACGGTCTGGAGGGAAAACCTAAATGAACCACAAGTACTATGAGATATATGCTTCAATATTGTAGGATTTGCAAATAATTTTTTACTAATTGACCAGTTCAGTCCAATAAATATATGTTAACGAAAATGATTAGCAGAGTAAGCAATCCTAGTTAATTTTAAGATACCTAAAAGTAAAATTAAATAAACTAATATTTTTGTCCTGGGGAGATTTATTTCACAAGCAGGCATTTCAAATAACTTTGAATATAATTAATTTTAACCAGTAAGGAAAAGTCAAAAGTCGGTCGTGCCGACTATACGATACCCTACACCATTATGCCTATTTAGTAGAATTCCCGTAACAAAATAATTTATTTAAAGTAGATCATACCACCTATCAACATTTGGATTTAGAGCAGTTATAGTTTGGTTTCAGGGAGTCATATCCAATTCTGAATCGATTTTCGCTAAATTTGACGGAGACATATCAAAATCTTAGCCGATCTCGATAAAATTCGGCGAATGCATTTCCAAGCTCTATAAGATATCTGGTATTAAATATCATTGTTGTCGAATGCATATTACGAATGTGAGGGACTTAAATGCCAAATAGGATGAAACATATATATGGAAGCTATAACTATATCTGAACCGATTTTCTCCAAATTTGATGCACTTGCTTCTAGACTTAATTCAGTCGGATGTACTAAAATTCAGGATTTTTACACAGATTTTGGCCATTTGGTGCACAATTGATTTAAGTATATATCCAAATTTGAACTGATCTTGATAAAATTTGGCAGAGGTATTTCTGGGCTGTATCTGATATATTGTACCAAATAACATTGTTATCGAATTCATATTACGAATGTGAGGGACGTAAACACCAAATCGGATGAAACATATATATGGGAGCTATGGATATATCTGAACCAATTTACACCAAACTTAAGCAGTGCATTTGTTCACAAGAATACATGGATGGACGGTCGGATGGACTGACATGCATAAATCGAATCAGAAAGTGATTCTATGACGATATGGGTCTATCTCGCTTCCTTCTCCATGTTACAAGCAAATGCACAAAGATATAATACCTTTACCACTATGTGGGTTAGGGTATAAAAAGTACAAAATTTGGTTTAAAACGGCATTGACAACGTACAGTGCTTTGCTAGACATAGTCAATTGTAAGCAATTTTTATAAAATAAACCTTCAACAAAGCATAACTTGTAGAACTTTAAGACATATACAATTCCTGGTACTAGAAAAACTACAATTGTGCGCAAATGCAAAGCTGTATTGAATATGTTACATGTATGGGAGCTTTACCTATATCTGAATCGATTTGGTCCACACTAGGTAGACTCGAAAAAGGATAGGATATATTATACATATTGTGTCCATGGGGCCTTAAATATCAAATCGGATGAAACTTCAATTTCAATAGGATTAGCCATTGAGACGAAGAAGTAAAATATGCAAGATTTTCAATATGAAATAAATAAAAATAAATTAAATGGAATAATGGCCTAAATCGACTCAGAATTCGATTTTATGGATATCACTATAACGAACCATGGGACTATCGCGTATCGTAAAAAAACAAGTTAAGTCCTTTAAATAACCTCCATAATTTGGAAAGCAACACTTTTGAATATAAAATTATCAGTTCCGAGATCTAGTATCATAATGAACTATTTTTGGCTTATAAAAATAAATGGATAGACATGCCTAATGCGGCTCAGAATGCGATTTTATGGAGATCACTAAAATGAACCATGGGTTTATCACGTGCCCATTGTCATATTAAAAAAAAACTAGTTAAATCCCTTAAATAGCCCCCACCATGTGGAAAGTACCTTTTTTCCTACCTCCCGTTATTCTAATTTTAATAATTTGAGTCGCAGTTTTGAATGGAATTGTTTAAAATTTTGGTAATAGAAGATTGTGATGTATACCACTTTTTATGACAGAACATTAGCTATACAGCGTTAAATTTAGCGGAACATAGAAAATCCTTGGAAAATTACCTGTATATTACACCGATCACTCTCACAGGTACTGCATTTGTTGTAATTTCCGCTGAGACAACTAATCATGTCAGAATAGCTAAGACTGGTTACACACCCACGTTCCGTTGAACCATCGTTATTAATTTTAGTATAGCATTGAGTATTTGGTCTAGAAGTACATTGAGTAATTGATGGCACATTTTGTGGCATTAAAGCACAATCGGGGTCATCATTTGAATTACATTCGGCACACATGGTTGTTTTGGGTATATTTTCGTAACCATTGCAGTTATTTGAGTTGCAAGTATATAAACGATGAATGTTGTTTGATACAAAACTATCGTCTAAATCACTGACACAACCCATTTGTACGACGTCACTTTTATCATCAAAGAGAATAAAACACTGGTCTTTTGGTTTATATTTGGGGCAATAACCGACATTCGCATCTACACAATTCTCACCAATACAAGCGTAGCAGGAAAGTCGAGACTCGGGAATAATTTCAACATTGCAAGCGGAGCCAGAACAAGATTTGCACTCGCTATCTAACCCAGATGCGCAAACATCCTGGTCGGATATGTCTTTGTCGTCCAAACATGATCGTACAACTCCATAAACTGAGCTATTTGCAATTGGATACAAAGCTGTCATACAGGCACCATTGCATTTTCGTCGTCTTGCCACAACTTCGGGATTGAGGGCGCATTTGTTATTGCTTTCTGAATCACAATAAATGCAATCGTTATATTCGAATAGAGAGGTGGCGTTATTACATAAATTAGAATTGCAGTTAAAGCAGTTTTCGTGGTTGACGTCGCAATAAGGACCTTGTTCTTCTTCAACAGAGCCGCTACATCCTCGTTTAATAACTTCACCGTTGTTGTTGAAAACCGTCATACAATGTTCTTTGCCATTGCAAATCTCTTGAGAATACCCCGTTTTACATTCGTCCACATTGGAACATGTCAAGCAAGTCAGTGGTAGATTTTGCCATACTCCAGGTTTCGCGTCAGACTTGCGCATTAAGTTGACCGTATTACAATCGTTTCCATCACATTTCTGGCAATTAGTCGGATCAGACTCGTCGCATGGAATTTGAGAACTACAACCACGTACCGTGAATCCATTATCATCAATAATGGTTACACAGCTGTCATTTGGAATGTATCTCAAACACACTTCCGACGAGTCTGGCATAGTTTCACATGTCGTGGAGTCAGCTGACGAACAAATATGGCAAGTTGTGCGACCATTGGGATATATCTAAATAAAATACAGTTATAAATTAATGGCTTGAGGAAATAATTATCAGGAATATGGCAACGTTTTTCTACCATGTTATTGCACTTGTCGCCAACGCAGGACAGGCATTCCACATCGTTTTTGTTGTACAAACAGTTGTAAAACTCTTCGTTTTCCAAATTTGAGAGACATCCACGTTCAGTGTGACCGCCTGCAGGGCAAGAAAAAATAAACATATTACAAATAATTGTGTCATATGGGTAGACGAACTTACTCTGTAAAATGCGGGAGTAACAGTGGGAATAAGGCAGTGAATTGCATGTCGTATACGACACAACATGTTCTGGATTGGTTGAACATTCGGTATCTGACAAGGAATTGCACAAAGTACAGGACTGCGACTGTGGTAAATTATCAATGTGGTTACAATTATCATCGTCACACAACCATAAAAGTTTTGCTGTCACAAGAGTCACTACTTCTGAAGGATCGTATTTGCTCTTACAGCCTAGTTCGATAACGGAACCACTCTCATCGAACTGCACGAAGCACTGATCGTTGTTCATAACCGATCGGCATAACTGAGCTTGAGCATTTTGGCATTCATTTCCTATACATTGATAGCAAGACTTATGCAAACCCACTTGGTCTTTGTTGCAGTTTTCCTCTGAACAAGATTTACATTGGGGATCCTCTTTGGCCTCACAGCTTAGGCGGTCATCTAAATTTTTATCATCCAGGCAAGTTCGCATAAGCTCATATACTGGGACGTCGTCTTTGGTGCGCGGATAAAGTGCTGTCATACAACCCCCTTGGCATTTCCGTGTACGTGTTATGTTATTTGCATTAAAAGTACATTCAACATCACTCTGGCTATCACAAAAAATGCAATTTATATAATCAAGTTCTTTCTTTGCAGTGTTACAACCCGTAGATTTACAGTCGTAACATACATTTCCAGCCTCCGTACAAACATGATCAACAATGTCGCTACATCCACGTTGAATTACATTACCTTCGGTGTTGAAAACCACAGTGCATGTTTGATGAATGTTATTTGTGCAAACGTTCAAGTTTCCGATGGATTGTTGACATTCTTCGGTGCCGTTGCAGTGATAACATGTTAACGGGAGGTCAGCGAATACTCCTACTTTTCCAATGTCCTCATTGGCTAAATTTATATCATTGCATCCAAATTCAGAACACTGTCGACAGTTCTTTCTATTGAGTCCATCGCAATTTAGTTCTGTAGCACAATCGCGGCGTGTTACGCCATCAACCCATTGTGTGACACAGGCATCATTCTTAACAAAAAGTGGACACGGTTGAACGGAATTAGGCTCACCTTCACAATTGACATCGATTAACGAATTACAACGGTGGCATTGTTGTCTGCTGGATGGATATATGTTTTTGTTGCATTCATTTTCAGCACAGATTCTGCAATTGGAATCGGGATCGCCAGTGTTACAGGCAACGAATATTTCAGTGGGCAAGTTGTAAATGCACCCACGTTCAGTATGACCATCTGTAAAAAAGCAAATAAAGAAGGGCTATAGGCGGCTGAACCGACCTTGCAATATCCAACACCAATACATACAAAGAAAGATTTTGATATACCACATGTAAGGAGTAACTATGTTTACTAACCATCAACGGCCGGACTGTGGTATATACGCCGACCCTCTCGCTTTTGGGCGGGATTTCAATAGTTTTTCTTTTAACTGGTTACAGTTAAATATCTATTTGGCTACTAACATAAAGGACTCTTTATTCAGCGAAAATAATGTTGTAATTAGTTTAAGGCTTTTGGTGAGATTTTCTCATCTCATATCTGGGGACGTGTCAAAAAAAATTAAAAAAATATACCCATACAAATACTTTTGTATAACATTTTGATAGAGGAAGATATACTGTGACACATATTATGAAATTTCATAGTTCAAAATTATTATTTATCTACGTATATCCCAGTGTACACTTGATTTAACTTTTAAAATGATTTTTAAAATATGATATACACACAATAATACCCTGTAATAAACATAACTTTTCCAGCATTCGACGACTGAGTTTAATAACATCTCTTACATTTTTCGAGATATAGTCACATTATTGTTGTAAAGATAATAAAGTAATTAAGACAATCCAATATACAATTTCTAAGCTTCTGTCTGCCAAAAATTAGGTAAATATGTTAATGGAATAGATTAATTTAGAAGATATGACATCCAGAAAATAATTGTTAAAAACGGCCTGAATCGATTAGGTATGGTATGAGATAAGTCTAACGCCCATTTTTTGTACCAGTTTAAACTTATAATACCCTCCTCACATAGTGGTGTAAAACTAAAGCCATTTAGAGTGTATTTTAGATATTTTCTACAATGGTACTTACCATCGCGTATTCGAGTATAGCATTCTGTGTATGGATAGTTCTGGCACCTATCTTTGGTAGTTACTTGGGATGGGTCCGTAGCACATCTCACATCATTTTCCGAATTACAAGCATAACAAAATCTGGCTTCAGGAAGTTTATCGTATTCATTACAATTATCGCCGTCACAAATAAAGTATTGCTTGATATCGGCTAAGATGTCAGTGATTGTTAATTCACTGCGACATCCCATTTTGACAACACTGTGGGTAACATTATCGAAATACATGTAACATTGATCGTCTGCGGCATAACCTTCGCACGGTTTTGACACTTGGGCATTACAGTTATTACCTTCGCAGTGATTACAGGAAAGACGACCAGTCTCTGGTAAAATTGCAGTATTGCACTTTTCGTCAGAACAGACTAGACAGTTATTCTCTTCAGTGCAACTTTCCCTATTGTCTGGTTCAATGTCTTCCAAACAAGTCCGTACAAAATCGTAAACTTTTGGATTGGATTTGCGAGGATAAAGAGAGGAAATACAACCGAGGGTGCATTTTCTTGTAGATGTAACGGCATCGGGATTAAATAAACATTGGGAGTTATTTGAAGCATCGCAGTACAGACACAATTGATTAGTAAATGGGTCTGTCATATCGTTACAACCATTCGATTTGCAATTAAAACAAAGATCTGGATTATCATTGCAATGCGAAAGGTATTCTTCTAAAACAAGGTTTTCACAGCCACGACGAATAACTTCTCCTTTGATATTAAAAATCGTCATACAGTCCTGGTAAGGATCACCTTCACATTTTCTGGGATTACGGACACCGGTTTTGCACTCGTCTCCAACACATGTGTTGCAGTTGAGAGGTAGGTCCTGGAAGACACCATATATTTCTTCTACACGTTTCATTAAATTGGCTGTATTACAATTATTTCCAACACATATTTCACAGCCCTTTGAGTCCTCTACGCACGTGAACTCTGATCGACAACCACGTTTTGTTACGCCATTTTCGTAGCTAGCAACACAAGCATCATTGTCACTGTACGAGGGACATACCGAAGAGGTGGCAGGAGAAGTGTGACAAGCTGCATCAGAATTCGAGTTGCATCGATGGCAACGCAGACGATCCTCAGGAATAATCTGAAAGTAAGAACATAGCGATGAGTTTTATGCCTTATAACGAATTAGGAAACATTTATTACCTCTTCATTGCAGTTGTTGCCCTCGCAGATCTGGCATTTGTCATCTGAGCCGATTAAGCAGTTGTAGAATTCATCCCCTACTAAATCTGAAAGACATCCGCGCTCCGTGGCTATTCCATTTATACGTTGGTAGCATTGAGTGTAGGGCATTGTAATACATTTTTTCGGGGCGGTTATTGCCGCTGGATTTGTAGCGCACGCCTCAGCATTCACGGACGAACAATTGCTGCATTCAAAAGTTTTGGGTAAATGTTCAAATCCATTACAATTCATCCCATCACAAATGTACAAAGCTTTTTGCTTTACAAGATCTATAACTGCTTCTTCGGAATCGAAGTCTGACAAGCAACCCAGTTCGATTGCGTCATTGTTACCCTCCTCAAAACGCATAAAACAATGATCGTCTTCTTTATACTTGGGACACTCTTCACGAACGGGATCCTCACAATCATCGCCGGAACAGCGGTAACACGAATGCCTTACTTCGGGCATAATATTGACGTTACAATGAGGTTGATTACATGTATGACACATACGATCATTTCCATTTAAGCATGCTTTTTGATCATCAATGTCGCGATCATTTAAGCAGGACCTCACCAAACTGTAGCTGGGGTTGTCAGTCTTACTTGTAGGATAAAGAGCTGTCATGCAATTTCCAAAACATAAGGTTCTTGCAATGATATCGGCAGGGTTTAATGCACAGTTCTTGTCCAAACTTGAGTCGCAAGCCACACACTCTATGAATCCGTCCATAGATGTTGCCTCATTACAGGCAGAAGATGAACAAGTAGGGCATCTGTCTGGGTTTTTGCTGCAGTAGCTGCCGTTTTGAGAGGAAATAATTTTATCGCTACATCCTCTCTGATTTACTATCCCTTTTTCACTGAAAACTATTACACATGTTTGGTCATCATTATTCTCACATTTTTGGATGACACCGTTGCCAAGCGCACATTCATCTTCACTATCGCAAGTGTAGCAATTAATGGGACCGTCATGCCAAATATTAGACCGCACGTTGGTTGAGTTTACTGAAATATTATAGTCGGTATAAATATTTTAGCGAAGATGATGAAATGTTATTGATGGGTGAAACATAGCAACAATTGTGGCTATTACCAGAAAATGGTTTTGGAAATCGTACTCTTCAAGATGAAGTTTGAATGGGGATATCTATATTAAGGTGAATATGTGAGCAGTAAACAATAGTGAAGGTTATTTTTTTTAATGCAAAATGTTGGTTTTTTGTGCTTATCAACTTTATTTTCACTATAATATCTCTGCCCCTATTCGATTATAGATATAAAAACAATTGTCTATCTATTAATAGTTAAAACAATTAATTGCCAGTCGATAATTTATACTACTGAATACACCATGTAAACATTCTATTGATAACTATAAGACTTAACAATGTAAACAAAGAATTTTTTTAGTTATAATTTTTGTGAGCTAACGATTCCAGTTTTCAAGACACAGATTTCTATATATACTTTTTATAACAGCAAGATAATGATGGTAAAAAATGTGGAAACTGAGTTTCACAATTCCATAGTTTGCCCACTTTTAAAATATTTCCATTATTTTGCTGGAAGGAAGTGTTAAATATTTTATTAGAATTTTGAAGGAAATCGCTGAATAGTTTCACATGTTTTGAGAGATATGTTTATTTACAATTTGGACCCTTTTTAGGACGGATAATTAGAAGGCGTTAGTCCTAAATCTCATATTCACATTAGATATATATTTTATGAAATAAGATACACGAAGTTTGAAGAAAATCGCTGACTTATTACCCAAGATATGATGCATACACATAATTATTTGAAATGTAGACCCTTGAGGACTTTTTTAAAAGAATCGGATTATTATTTTATTATTTTCTAACATGTAAATTATTTTCTTACAAAATGTTGACCTTTTGTGGGAACGGTACCAGAAGAAGACTGATATTATCCATCTGGGAAATGGATCTAAGTAGCAAGTTTGGAGCAAATCGGATAGTATCTTTGAGAGTTATCGTGTTCACCATCTGGTAAGGCAGACAAACAAGTAAAAGGAAGAATGCTGCTAGGTCGACTCCTGAATTTTAAGGTTCTGAAATGAATTTCGTCCAAAGAGACTCAGGGTCCAAAACCGTTATTTAATTAAAACACATTTTGGTGTGATATATATTTGATATATATCCTCTAATTGTTTTAAAAAAGGTAAGAGGTTTTTTGGTTGAACAACGTCATATAGAGGCGGAAGAGGTGATGCATGTTTTTTAAATGTTGGCATTTTGAAGCCGACAGTGCATTAACTATAAAATTAGCGATTTTATGTTAGTTGACATTTATATACAGTGCGTGCTGTGCACAGTTCAAAAATAAGGTAACATAGGTTTATAAGTGTTAGGGACCCCAAAAAGTATGTAAAAGAACAGAAATTGTTATCGAATTAATTATGTACATTTGCAAATACGATAGAAGTCTCCATATTCTATATAGGTCTTTGAAACTTTTTAAAGGCCTATATGTTATTCTTGGGATTATTCATGCTTCAAAAATTATATATTTGTGCTCATTTAAATATAGCTCTCTTATAATATTATCTCCTAATATTCTTCGACCAATTATGCTCTAATTTGATGATTTCAGTACAGTTAAATCTAGTCCTTTAATACTGGTTCCACCCATACACCCGATTTTAGGTATTGTGAAGGTTTTAAAAGTATTTTCGAGGTTATAAATCTTTTGTCAAAAAACTGCAGCAAAAGACCAATTTATGATTTGTTTCCTATGCACCAGTACCTCTTTATATTCGTTATATTATCGTACTTAATTGCATTTTCAAACCACTATTACTATACTATACTATTATCTTAGCAACATTTACGTATTTTTTAGAAGACCATGTTGTAAAGTATTTAGTTTTGTCAAACTCAATATAAAAGTTCTTTAGGATCTTGAGTGTTTTCTATGCTTTGAGCTAGATTATTTTCTAATCAAAATTCATTTTTTAGCATGACAACCATATAACGGCATGTGTAAAAAATGCAAAATATGCAAATTTGCGATCTTTCTACAGTCTTTTTTTCATATTTTTCTTTCGAAAAACCTTTCTACTGTCATAACTAATAGCCGAAAGAAAATTTGAGTCAAATCGGCTAGCCGTTCTCAATTTTTATACATATAGATTTAATGAAATATGCGTGGCCAGTTCCTCTTTCCAAATAGGTATTTAGGGTTGGAGGGAGAGTCAAAAGTACCACGTATACTAACATTGAAGTATATATCTTCATTATTTTGGCGAATATAAAGATTTTAATTAAAATGGGCGTAAAAGTGGGTATTTTTAATTTTTCTTAGTATTACGAATGAAAGTTTTGTCAGATACTAATAAATGGGCGTAAAAGTGGGCATTTTTAATTTTTCTTAGTATTATGAAAGAAAGTTTTGTCAGATACCACGCTTATAACTCAAGAACCGTGAAAAAACAACAACAACCAACTTCAGAATGCTGCTATTTTGCCATAGAGAGTTTTCCAGAAAAAATGTTTTTCGTGATGGAATTCAAGCGTGATAGTGCGATTTTTTATATTTGGCTGATACTGACAGCGTAGACCGACGTCAAGGAAGTGGACGGAAGAAAACAGAACTTGATAGAAACCCTCGTCGCAGTGGCCGAAAAATGGCTCGTGAGCTGAACATATCGCAATATTCCATTCGACAAATATTGAATTTCCAACAAGTAAAAAAACATTTAGTTCGGCGGGAACGAACTTTTAATACCCTCCACCTTACGGTAAAGGAAACATTTTTATATAAAAGTACCTGAATTCAAGCGTGTTTCACTTTAAAATTCGTATTCCAGTAAGATCGTTTGAATAAACCATAAAGTGAGTCAAAAAACCATAATGTGAGTCAGGCCGTTATATGGGGCAATACCAAAACGCGAACCTCTATAGACAATTTTATACTTCTAGGATTATCATCTATCTTCTAAAATACCAAATTTGAAACAATTATGTGAGTAAATGTGCCTAGGATTATCAAAATATCGAATATCGCTGGGTATCGTTATATGTGCGCTATAGAAAACGTGGAACTAAACATTCAATGTTACCAGGATCTTGGTCACATTTTTCAATTGATTTTGCCCTTATTTGGCATCTAGCTCCTGGTAGAAGTCCTTTTCGCGGAAACTTCAATGTCAATGTTTCGAAGTAGGGCTCATATAAAAGTACCTCCTGATTTTACCTTTTTCGAGGGTTTTGATTATATTTTCGAATCGATTTGACTTAAAATGTGTGTTTATGCTACTTTTGGGGTAGTGAACCATCTTACATGGGTCTATATCAATGTATACTTTTTAATATATATCCTATATTATTTATTATTATTTAGGTTTTTAAACTAAAACCTCTTACTGAAAAATAGGATGAGGTTTTTTGAAAGACGTATTTATTTCCATTTAGTTGAGTCATCATTTATAAAAAAATTGTGCAAGATTTGTGAATTATTATGCTTTAAAGACTAAAACTACGGACCGGCAACGCGGACTGGGCCCGCTTATATATATATATATATATATATATATATATATATATATATATAGGCTAACATTAAAAAATTACTCAACAATTTAATTGAGGATACGAATATTACGGGGAAGTATGTTTCTACCTCGAATGGACTAATTTCAACAGAAATGCCACTCAACTTTAAAATATTGCCGTTTCCTACATGCTTGGCATTTCCTGTGAAATAAGTAAATCCGAAGAACAAACCCTTGGGGTATGCATAGCATGTTCCTGCTTTTCTCATGGTCAGCTGTTAATGTCACCTTCACGCGTTGGTAGACCGTGCTCTTTGTTTATTTCCACATTAAAGTATTACATTTTTTTTTAAATTTTTGAATTTGTTTTATTTTTTTTACACCAACATATATTGGCATATAAAATTTTGAATGCATATAAAATCAAAAGGGTAGCGAAGAGCACCGGGATAAGCTAGTATATATATATATATATATATATATATATATATATATATATAAATAGCTTGCGAACGGAATGAAATACGTGGACGAAATTTTACTTAAATTAGGTTTAGGGATGTACCCCATGTAACTGTATCGGCAGATTAAAGGTGTTTTGAAGTTCCATTTCCCATGAAAGAAAATTACCTATAAGTGATACCTTCCAATTTTCGCTATTTCTTGATTTTTCCAACGGAACTATCTCACTGGTATTTGGAGTCTTCAAAATGCACCCCTTTTCTGACAGCTAATTAAATGTACAGGTCCATGCTTTCATGTTAAAAAGTTCGGCCGGCCTCTGCTCAGCTTTCTTATTTGTTTTACCCAATGATTTGAGTATTAAATCTTAGTGTGTGGTATAATTTTCTTTAATCCCTGCTCGATTTTATTTTGCTTCTGGCCAAATCTTATGAACTCAGCCTTGTTCGTGTCCATCCACAAAAATGGCAAAGACCTAAAATGGTAAAGACTAGACTAAATGCATTTTGAGCAAATGGTTTGTTTCTACAATACATAGAGTATAATAACATGGCAGAGACATGTTATTATAAAAACCACAATTACAGAAAAGAATAACAACTAAAAATTTGAAAAATTCAATAGTTTGGCCTTAAAATTTTATTCCAAAGACTTTCCAAAAATGTACATATTGCCTCAGCGGTTTAAATCAGTTAACATTTGTAGCTATGTTTTTATGATATCGTAACAACAGACATATTTTCACAGGGTTGCCATATTTTGACTCTGTCTTGTCCTTTCTTTACACTTCTATGTCTTTGAAAATGGCAGAAATATATATACATATTTTGTGATATATTTGTATACCTAACATTAATTAAATACATTTTGTTTTATATAATAGTGACACAGTCTGCGTACTGCAGACGTAATTCATGTTGCTCTGGAGTTTCTGAAGTTCGTAGTTTTCAATTTTTTTCTCTACGAAGTCCTGCAGTTTCTTTGCAAACGAACATTCACTGATTTTACACTATATTTAGAGATAGAAGGC